GGATGACTGCCCTGGTGTCATATTCCTGTTGATTTGTCGGACTGCTTGCGCAGCATAATGATGGGAATGTTTACTAGTTGGTTTGCATATTTAGTTTGATGTTTATTAGGGTGAGCCGTTAACTTATATAATAAATTTTCAATGAATATTATAACATATAGTTTTCGAAAAACGTGAGATAACTTGATTTTGCAAAAATTTAACAACCCTGATATCTAAAGACATTATATAATGGCATTCAAGATATTCTATAATTAATGTTACTAGAAGAAATAAAGTGAAGGCAATTATATTATGCGGTAAATTTCAGGAAAATTTATAATAACAAATTTGTTTTTAATAAAAGCTACATTTTTTCCAGGCCAATTAAAAATGAAAACAAATGATATTATTTTCAGATTGACGTGGAAAAAATATAACTTTTATTTAAAACCTGAAAAAGTATCAACCTTTCTTTCAATTTCCCTTCAACATTTGTAATTAAATAGTACCCAACATTTTCATAACTACCTCCAACATTAATAAATGTCAACAAAAAGTCCAACAACATCAACAATAATAATAAATGAAAAACGCCACGCTAATTAACATAAAGTTTTGTAACTTATGTGAATATGCCCTCCTCACTTAAGTTGATAACATAATGAAAGGATGTTCAGTAATATTTAATAAAGTGTCACGGGGAGGAACAGAGTTCAACAACTACAACAAATAAAACGTAAATACACATACATGCGTTTTTTATTTATACAATTAACAAAGTTAAGTGTTAAGTTCGTAAACTACACCGGGCAGAAGGATTTTTGGGGAATGGAAAATTCTTTATGGGTATGAAAGCCCTTGGAGAGTATATTAAGGACCCCGAAGGAGAAATTTCGACATAAGTCAAATTTTTGAGTTATGAAATTATGATTTTTTCTAAAAAACTCGGGCCAGAGATCACAGTTTCGAGGACGCTGATTACGATTGTGCAATTAAAATGTAATAGCTTGAATCTAAAACAATTAATTTTAAATGTTGAATTAATCAAAGTATTTTTTAACACGTTTTGTTGAGCATGGCCACTAATTACAAATGTGAAATTAGATTTTGAAAATCAAATAAATTAAATCCAAAATGGCGGATCAAATATAAGAAACAACTAAATATTTAATTTCTGGGCAGTATTTATACCCTACACAACTATGTTGTCAGGGTATTATAGCTTTGTGCAGCCCCAAAAGTTTGTAACGCCGCGAAATATTGGTCTTAGACCCACCTTAAGGTATACCGATCGTCATATCTCGACTAGCAGAGTGGATCTAGACATGTGTGTCCGTCCGTCTGTCCATTATAATTTGTAAACACGATACAGGCCACAGCTATGGACCAATCTTCACGAAATTTTGCATGTAGGATGGGTTCTGGCCCATCGGATAATATTTAGGGGATGAAATGGACCAAAAACTTTATTTTTGTCCAATTTTCTGGTCGCTCCAGAAGCCGCAATTATGGCCCGAACTTCGCGAATTTTCACATGGGGAAGGGGGTCGGGGCAAAGAATAAGCATGCCTGTTTTTATAAGGATCGGTCAATATTTAGCGGGTCAAATGGACCCTGCTTTTTGTGTGAAAAATTACAAAATTTGTATTCAATGGCATATATATTCACTTCTGAAGGACATAGACCCGAGAAGTTGACACCAATCATATTGTCGTAGGTACTCGGATGCGGGAGTTACACTTAAATATTTACATGTGCTTACGTATTGATATATTATGTAGTAATCTATTACCACACTTTAGGGTGGATCGCTTTGAAATGTTCCATGATGTTCCAGTTATGGTCAAGGACAATGCCTATATTGTTAGGTGATGATCAGATAATAATTTTTTGTACTTTTCGAGTCGAAAGCCGAACATTACAAAACAACCTACGGTGAAGGGAATCTGGACAAGTAATTAGAGGGCTGTACTGACTATTAGTAACATTTTCTGACCTCTAGCCAGTCAAAAATTGTGCAAATATCGCGAAATATTGCCCAATCTCAGAATATAGCACCACAGAAAGTTAGATTTTCATGGAAGTTGTGTAGGGTATCATATGGTCGGCCCCGTCCGACTATACTGCTCCGCTCACTTTATTTATCATGGCCTTAAAACTATGACATGCTTTAATAAAATTTCAAATTATTGCAAACGTGGTTGTAAAACGTGCTCAAAATTTCACAAACTATTAAATAAATGTGGGGTCCATTTATGTGGGACCTACCCCGAAAACTATGTCAATATTGATAGTTTTTGCTACGAAGATTTTACACCCAATGAGAATTCAAAATACTAAATTACAGCCAATTTGGTTGTAAAGCGCAGACAAAATGTCAAAAAAACAGTAAAGAAAACAGTAAAGTCGGACTGGGCCGACTATATGATACCCTTCACCACTTTGGGTATATTCTATATATGTATCCTAAAAGACGTCGCCTTTTCGAAGGAACATTGCTATAAAATTGAACGAACTTAAATATGTGATCATTATCTATATCTAAACCGACTAACATCAATCCCTACACATGTCATTCTGCAACCTATGCTAAATTTTGTAAATCGATTTAAAGCAAACATGACACACGCTCTTCGGTATGCTGCACAGTTTAAAATTTAATCTCAATCAAAAAACCATTGATTATTTGGTGTACAATAAACATACATAAGTCGAAATTATATATGGAAGCTATGCTATATCTATATCTGAACCGATTTCAAGGAAACTTGCCAGAGATTAATATATATTAACTCCAGTACATTGTGTCACCATTTACTTAAAATCGGACGAAAATATATATAGGAGATGTTTGTAAATCTGATCCGATTTTCTCGAAACTTTGCACACATCATTCTAGACGTAATTCAGTACGCTATACCAAAATCGAAAGATATAGGGCGCTTTGGTGCAGCATTTACGTAAAATGGGACGAAATTATATGTGGGAGCTATATCTAAATCTGAACCGATTTTCACGAAACTTTGCATATATTATTCTTGACTTAATTTTGTACGCTATGCCAAAATTCGTGAAAATCAAAAGATTTGCAGGAACTTTGGTGCACCCTTTACCTAAAATCGGGTGAAACTATATAAGGGAGCTATATCTAAATCTGAAACGATTTTAACGAAACTCAGCACTCGACATTCTAGACTTAATTGAGTACGCTAGGCCGAAATTCGTACAAATCTAAAGATTTTCAGGGACTTTGGTCTACTATTTACCTAAAATCGGGCGAAACTATATATATGAGCTTTATCTAAATTTGCACCTATTTTTACGAAACATAACACACCTCATTCTACACTTAATTCAGTACGCTATGCCAAAATTCGTGAAAATCTAATGATTTTCAGGGACTTTGGTGCACTATTTACCTAAAATCGGACGAAAATATATATGGGAGCTATATCTAAATCTGAACCGATTTTCTCCAATTTCAATAGGGCTAGTCCTTGGGCCAAACCAATGGACCGTGCCAAATTTCATCCAATTCGGATCATAAATGCGACCTGTACTTTGCTCACAAAAATACATGGATGGACGGACAGACGGACGTGCATAAATCGACTCAGAAAAATAAATCCATTATTTTTTTTCGGCAGATGGCTGTACTGATAGATTTCTCGTAAAGTATCGATCAAACAATTTCAGATTTATGCTCGTTGGAAGGGTGACATTGCGTAAGGGTGGCATTTAGTAAAAACAATTATTTAGCTTTTTTTTGTTTGGTACATTCAGTTGTGAGTTACAGAGTTTTAGAGATGGAAGTGAACAAAGACAAAATTCTGTACATTTACAGTTTTTCTTTGAAAAAGGCAAAAATGCAGCCAGGCAGTTGAAATTGTTAATAGTGTTTATGGTTCCGACACTGTGACAGCCAATTATAAAGGAATTTTTAAACGGATAAAGTCGAAGAAACTTCGGGAGCTTAGTTGGGAAGTTTTAATGCATCCGCCATACAGCCGGACTTGGTACCAAGCGAACAGAAAATCAGGTAAAAATAAAGTTTTTGGTCCATTTCATCCCCTAAATATTAACCGATCTTTTCCAAAAACACTACATGCAAAATTTCGTGAAGATTGTGATTGAAGATTGTGGCCTGTTTCGTGTTTACAAATTACAATGAACAGACGGACGGACGGACACACATGTCTAGATCGACTCAGTTAGTTGGTATACTTAAAGGTGGGTCTAAGACCAATATTTCGTGGCTTTACAAACTTTTGCGGCTGCACAAAGCTATAATACCCTGACAACATAGTTGTGTAGGGTATAAAAAGTACAATAACTATCCCCGAACGTGATAATCTATTATTGGAATGCATTCTCTGTATAGAATTCTATATTCTACCTATAAATAATCTATAGAAAACTTATTTATTTACTAATAAAATTTAGTTCATCAGATTTGCCTATCGTCAAAATTAACAAAAAACTACGTTGTTAATCCCTCCAGCCCAAAGTAATAGACCAAAACGTCAAGGATTACAACTTAAGAGAAATACAACAACAAGTAATTGCTGAACTCATTAAAAGTTATTTGACCCTTTGCCTATCTAGGCCTAGCTATAACAAAGAAATCACCATTCCCCAGCAAATAAATCCAATTGATTTTTTATTCTTTCTCTTTTTCTTTCTGCTTTCAGCAGCATTCGCCATTTACTAATCCAACTGGATATAACAATCAAAACCAAAATAACAACAACAACAAGCATCAGCATCCAGCAACAGTATTGCTAACGAATCAACAAAATTTCAATCAACAACAACAATCTTCATTTTCCACTGCAAACACAAATCAGGTCTTAAATACAAACAATCCCATTGTTAACGGTGCCACAGCAGGAACAACTCCCTCATCAGTTACAGCAACAACGGGTCTGGGTCAAAATTCGATTAAGAACAGACACCCATCAGGAACAACAACAGCAACACATCATCCACATTCACAACAACACTATCAACAACCGCAACATCATCAGCATCCACACCATCACAGCAACAACAACCACAACAACAGCAACACCAACACAGCAGTAACAGCGATGGGTCCCACCACATTGAATGGCACACAGCCACCACCAGCTCAACTCCAACAATATCAGCAACATTTACAACAACCACAGGTAACGACTGATACGCAACAACAGCACCTACATCATCCACATCAACAGTCGCATCAGCAACAACCTCAACAGCAACAACAACAACAGCAGCAGCATCAACAGCAATACCAACAAGCCGGTTCAGATCAGCTGTCAAAAACAAATGTCTATATACGCGGCTTGCCCGAGGGAACGACTGATAAAGATTTAGTTATATTATGTTCAGAGTGAGTATAGCCAATATTATTTAGTCGTTATACTTAGTTTTAGAAATGAATATATGAAAAATACTTCACACGCGATATCTTCAATGTATAAAAACCGCAAACAATGTGTTTTATGAAGTAACTGCTTGAGAATGTATTCTGTGTATAGATAATCTGTTAATGGAACAGGGTTTGCCAGCAAGAGGTGCGATTTTAAATTAATCAGTAGTTCGTTAATTTCTTTACAATTTATTCGTAATTTTATACCCTTCACCACATTGGAAACAAAATAGAACCATGGTTCCTTTGAGAATATGTATTTCTGAGTCGATTTATGCATGCCCGTCCGTCCATCTGTTGACGTTAAATTGTAAACAAAGTACAGGTCGCATTTATAATCCGATTTGGATGAAATTTGTCACAAGTCACTTATTTGGCCAAAGGAGGAACCCTATTGAAATTGGAAAAAAAAATCGGTTCAGATTTAGATATAGCTCCCAGTTTTACCTAATTGGTGCACCAAACTCCCAAAATTTGTTCGATTGAAACAATTTTTTGCACAACGTACTGAATTAAGTATAGTTTGATGTCGGTGAAGTTTTGTTGAAATTGGTTCAGATTTACTTATAGCTCATATACATAATTTTGCAGGATTTCATACAAATGTTACACCAAAAAGTCTGCCCGACTGACGTTAACATTTTAATAGATTTCAGAACGGTATGTGTATGGATTTTATTCGTTCAAATATCTATGTAGATCACAATTATTTTTCGCCCGATTTCATTTCAATGGTATTTCAAACATGTTATGTCTCTTCTACTTACACATTATCATCTCTTGTATGTACTTGAAGTGATGAAGGGTGTCATATAATTGGCTCCGTCCGACTTTGATCTTTCCTTACTGGTTTATTTATTATTTTATGTAAAAGTGAAAAAAACGATGAAAACATGCTGATATCGATTTCTGGTCTATCTAAAATCTTATGAGCGAATTTTTCAAAATATTTGATGATTAAAAATTACGATTCCAGAAAAAGGTCGATATGTTTAACAAAAATATTCCACATTCAATTTGACTGCATAAATGTCGTCTCAAAAGTAACCTGTAACAGCTATAAACAGCTAAACATATATAAAGCTTATTAAACCCCCACCATCACCACCATATTAAATTTACCATTCCGTTTACAACACCACGAAATATTCACCGGAGACCCCATATCTACTCATGATCCAAATAAAATTCTATGCCGATTTATGCATGACCGTCTGTCTATTGAGCTTTGAAATTTTGCACATACATTATTACTACTCCTAGGATGTTTGGCAACGATCGTTAGACCCCATAAAACGGTACTCTGAATTTTTCGGTATTTTTGTTTTTCATATAATGGTACCACAAATTATTCGGTATTTTGGGGAGTTTAGGGACGTTGGAATGTTAAGTTTTCATTGGGAGACACATCATCATACAAACAATTTTCAATATTTATACTCAAACCATATAACGGTCTCCCGAAATCTCCCATATAACGGTCTCTCTCAAATTCCGTTATTTTAGGAGGTTTATGCACTTCGTCAATCGAATTGGCAGTAATGTGGATTTTTTTTTTTTTTTTTTTGATTACCTTAGATAACAAATCTTTGTGCAAAAAAAAAACAAACTATTAATATTGGTAGATTTTTTGCACAGCCTCATATTATAGTACCTGCGTCTTTCTGTGTTTATAATATACCAGCCGAGGGCTTCCCACCCCAGTTCACGACTTCGATTTTCTTTCACATTGTAATCAACTACGTTGTGTCATTGCAATATTGCCAATTTTTTAACATAGCTGAAGCGGAGGTTCACCCCTTTATAACTCGGGAATTACTTAAGTATATGAAAAAATGTGAATAGTATTGGCTTAATTAATTTGTCGTTGCAAACTATTCATCATATTGGCCTCCAAATTTTATTTGGGTGGAAGCTGTGTCTACTTTAATGTAAAAATATGTAAAAGTAGGTTGATGCGAACCAGTTTTTTATGTTCTCTATCGATTTGTGACTAAGCCACTCATTTCACGGTCTTCGTGTCAATGTAAAACTAGAAGCCAACAAATTGGAGACTACGCCTCTTATGTATCATTTTTCAAAATTTCAACTGCATCTACCTTTAAATGATGCTGACATTTTGAAGCTCGATTTCGAGTGTTTTTTTTAATTTTACTTCTAGCTTTAATACGTAAACAGGAATTTCTTAAAATCGATTATAAGATTATTGTAGTCGCGAATCTGCGTAATTTGATATGTATTTTGTGTATGTAGTATGTACAGCTTCAAAGTAATACTCATCCGATGGTGAAAATTTTGTGCGATCAAATTTCTAAAAAACCTATGTTTCGGGCCAAATTCTTAGGTCTGTCAACTGAATGATATGGGTACCCGCGATCAATAAGGATTTTTACGTTTCGGAGTATATAAAGTCTTCTTCGTGAAAATCCATCTACTAGAACGGCGGGAACTGGCCTTCCAAAAACAAGAAAATTTGGTAAAAAATGTTTTTGAAAATATCGAGGATTTATTTGCGTTTTCTGTGAATAATTTCCGTTTCAATAAATGACCTATTACGGATTTTGTACTTTTGCGAAAAGAGAGCATTTATCTCAAAAATAGATTATGCTGGGTCATCCATGGTTCTTAATGGACCGCGTTTAAAATCGGTATAGATCGATGTATTTTTGTAGGATGCACACCGAAATTGGATGCGCGTTAATGGCGTATGGAGTTTTCGGAAATTATTCGCTTTTTACGAGTTTTTAGGTACTTCAATGCAACATGTAGTACATCTTAGCCGTCAAATGAAATTTCTCAAAATATATATGGATTGGAAGATAAACTGCAGTACTTCCTGGAAACCGCATGCGCATCAAATGATTTTCAGAATTACGCGATTTAGACGCAATTTAAAATGTATATTTCATAATATAGTTTTATTTCAAGATTTATTCCTACATTATAGAACCCCAAGATTTATCGGAAGGGTTATGCTATAATCCGCTTATACACAAAAAGTGATTATTTTTATAAATGTAAATTTTTCTGCGAAATTCGTGTAAAATATAAGAATAACCCTAACATTTTTTCTGAAATCTCTTGTATAAAATTAAAAAATAAATATGATTAAATTTTTTCTTCGAACCAAAAACAAATATTTTCTCTCAATATTTTGTTTTGTTTTCGCTGTAATTTACAAACCACTACACAGACTTGTGTGATTTTGAAAGCATTTGATTCATTATGGTGTTTAGATTATGTAGGTATTTTTAAATTAACTTTTAGGATGATAAATGTCATAAATATAATGGAAATATTGACTTAATCTCCTAATTTTATTATTATTTTTCTTATATTTCGCGAAGATATGCTACTTTTTCGCGAGTATTATAATATATTCATATTCTTATTTTACGAAGGAAGATATATATGAACGTTGTTGGTCAATTTAATAAACCACGTAATTTTAAGAATTTTTTCCTATGCCCAAACTAAAACCTCGATAACTTTTAAGCGCATCAACCAAAAATTTGATCGCAAACGGTTTCGGAGTCAGAACATTTTTCTATATGTGTGTACCGAACATCATTGATCTACCACAAAAACAAAAAAGCAAATTTTTTGAAAGTGGAATATTAAAAAATTGGCAATATTGCTCATATATATATATATATATATATTTTAATATTCTGTGTTTGTTGAGGATGAAAATTTAAATTTGAAGACATTTTCAACATCTAATCAAATTTAGTTAGCTCCGTTCTATTTTTGGCATTCTGTTATTGGTCGCATTCTGTTATTGGAGATTGTAAAACATATTTACTGCAAAAAAATTAAATTTCTACAGAAAGAGAGTGTCAATGGTCGATTAGGTCTTTAATATAAATTTAATTATTCCCTAAATTTTATAGAAAAAAATTTTTCAAAGTTGAAGTACCGCAATAATAAATTAAACTTCAGTAGCTTAAGAGCTTATATTCATCATAAATGCGTACATGCATTTTTTGTTATTATTTTTATTATTGACAATAACATAACTTTCTTTTTATCGCCGTTTGTTCTTCTTCTCATTTTCTCCTTACAGATATGGTACTATAGTTTCGGCCAAAGCTATATTTGATAAGACAACAAAAAAATGTAAAGGTAAGTTGAAAACGTGCTTCTGCTACGGACGTCTTTTATGCTCGGTTTTAACTTTGTTTTATCATTAACGTAATTTTTATCTTCTCATAAAGATTCATAATGAAACTTTGTTATTTTTTTCCATTGTTTTTTATTCTGTTACCTCTCAACCGAACAAAACCACAAAAAAAATATTGCAAAAAAAAACCAAAACAAAAACTTATCTCTCACATACTTCTGATACTATTTTTTCTTCTTTTTTTCTTTATTATTGTTTTGTGGATTTGTCCTTCTCTCTGTTTTTTTTTTTTGGTACTTATTTTCAGGTTACGGCTTTGTAGATTTCGAATCACCGGCATATGCTGAGAATGCCGTTAAATCTCTTCAAGCTAAAGGCATTAAAGCACAAATGGCAAAAGTGGGTGTTTGGGTGCTCATTAGGCCGGCCATAGTACGTTGTTTTTATTCCTCCTTTTTCAGTTTTCATTTATCACGTTGCCTTCAGTTTTATGTTTGTTTCGTTTTTGTTTCCCTGTACACTACTTTTTTGTTTATTTGTATTGCATGCTTGATAAGAACAAAAAAAAAAGAAAAAAAGAACGAGAATAACCTATGTATAATTAGAACCAAAAACCAAGGGTCCAAACCAATCTAACGGACCAGCTAAGACTAACAAAGACGCAAACGGACGCAAAGGATGTATCAAATGAACCACAACGTAACGAAGAACAGACAATTCTTTGTAATAGACTTGGTTAGAATTTTGTTGGATTCTATGCTCTCCACTTTTTTGTTATTTTCGTTTTTTTATGGACGCTGTACGACAATATCACCAATATTACATTACTTCCTTTTATCACTAACGCTTCGAACGTCAAGGCAGTCATTTACAGGAGGACTTTTTTGTTTGTTGTTATGTGCTAATTTTTTTAGGAGACCAACGTAAACATAAAACTCAAAGACAAAATTAAAAAAAAGAAACCGAAACGAAATAATGAAAACCAAAATTCTACTCAGTTTCACAATCTAATGATGAACGAATGAAAGGTATTTCGTTACAATTGTATTTCAACAATAGCGAGTTCTCACTTAATTTGGTAACTGTACTGAAAAGTTTTGTCTTTAGAACCAATTAGAATCAACCAAAAATTATTAGAGTTGTTTTATATATTAATTGTATTTCTTAGAATTACATATATTTCTATACAAACTTACATTCGTGATGAGCTCCGTAAAAATTATTAACTAATGGAAACCCCCCCCCCCCCATTCTTGATTTTAATTTTTCAAGATTTTCAATGGGCTGGTAAATCAATACCAATGCTTGTTAAGATTTGTATCTTTGAAGATTTAAAATAGAAGAAAAATAATTTACAAAAAAGTTTTGTTGTTGTTTTTTGTAATTAAAGAAAAGTCCTTATTTTTGATGGCGGGCACGATAACTCCTCACTGGAACATCGGAATCCGAAAATTCCAACGGTGTTAGAAAGAGTATATGTCTGGCTCTCGTATGAACTAGGATTATTGACTTCGCTCTAAAATTAACAAAATGGGGCACCTTTGAAAAAATATTTTTGGAAAATCGCCGATTTTTTACCAAAAACCGAGTTAAAAAATAAGGAACATCTTCACCGATTGGCTTTATCCTAGTTCATACGATAGCTATACACTCACAGAGAAACGTGTAAAAATTTGAAATCGATTGGGTTATTAGTTTTTGAGTTATCGTGCCCGCCATTCGCAAAAAAAAATGTTTACAGAAGAACGCGTTTAAAGTTTGAGAAGCCCTTTAGCCGTCACTTGATGCTGACACAATAATTCGGCTATATCTTCAAGAGTTCTTGAGATTTTCATTTTGACCCCGAGAATGGGGGGGTCCCCTTAATTAAAAATTTCGATTTTTTTAAGCCTGAAATGTCCTCATCACAAATGTTTGATATTATCCATAATTAACTTTTTATACCCTTCACCGCACTGTGGTACAGGGTATTATGTCTTTGTGCATATGTTTGTAACAGGCAAAAGGAATCGAGATAGACCCATGGTTCCTTTTTAGAATATGCATAGAATCACATTCTGAGTCGATGTATCCATGTCCGTCCTTCCGTCCATGTATTTTTGTGAGCAAAGTATCCGAATTTGATGAAATTTGGCACAGCCCATTGGTTTAGCCCAAGGACGAACCCTATTGAAATTGGAGAAAAACGTTTCAGATTTAGGTATAGCTCCCATATATTTTTTTGTCCGATTTTATGTAAATGGTGCACCAAAGTCCCTATATATCTTTCGATTTGCACGAAATTTGACACAGCGTACTCAATTAAGTCTAGAATTATGTGTGCCGAGTTTCGTGAAAATCGGTTCAGATTTAAATATAACTACCATATATAGTTTTTTTCAATTTTATGTAAATGGTGCTCCAAAGTCCCCATATATCTTTCGATTTGCGCGAAATTTGACATAGCGTACTGAATTAAGCCTAGAATGATGTGTGCCGAGTTTCGTGAAAATCGGTTGAGATTTAGATATAGCTCCCATATATAGTTTCGTCGGATTTTATGTAAATGGTGCACCAAAGTCCCTATATATCTTTCGATTTGCACGACATTTGACACAGCGTACTATATTAAGTCTAGAATGATGTGTGCCGAGTTTCGTGAAAATCGGTTCAGATTTACATATATGTACCATATATAGTTTCGTGCGATTTTATGTTAATAGTGCACCAAAGTACCTATATATCTTTCGGTTTGCGCGAAATTTGGCATAGCGTACTGAATTGAGTCTAGAGTGAAGTTTGCTGAGCTGCGTAAAAATCGGTTCTGATTTAGATATAGCTCCCATACATATATTTTCCTTCGATTTTATTTAAAGTGTGCACTAAAGACCCAATGTTTGTACGATTGACATATAATTTTGTTGAAAACGGTTCAGATTTAGATATGGCTCCCAGTTGTATGTTCGTTGGAGTATTTATCTAAACTTGCATTGGTTGACACAAAACGTATCATACAATCGATTTACAAAATTTGTCCCATTTTACGCAAACGACTCTAAATTTGTCCGAATGAAATGAACTTGTCCGAAAGTTTTTTCAATTCCATGTCAATGTTCTTTTGAAAAATCGGAGTCTGTTAGGAGACATATGTAGAATATACTTAAAGTGGTGAAGGGTATCATATAGTCGGCCCAGTCCGACTTTACTACTTTCCTTACTGGTTTATATTTTATATAAGTCTTATTTAACATAGAATTTCTTGTGTTTGTTCTATACTCATTCCTTACCTTTAGTATATTTATTATTTTTTGTTTAATCAGCCAATTTCCTCCACTATCTATGATATTTTTAGTGTAATTTAAAATCAAAAAGCACAAATATTGATATCTGGACGATATCCAACCTTGACACCACCTTAAAAAATAACGACCCCGCAGGAAAAACGGTTTTTTACTGTGCTACAATATTTTGGGGGGTGAAAATGTCCTCTGTGTATGATAGACCTTGGCGAGTATATTAAGGGTCCAGAAGGGCAAATTCGCCATAGATAAAGTTTTTCAGTTATGTCGTGATGAACTAAACGATTTATAACTTTCTGTTTATTTCCCCTTCGAGATGAGCTACATGATCGAAGTTGCAATGAAAAGGAAAGTCAGAGAGATGCTACATTTCCACCATTATGCGAAGTGTTCAGCCGTTGGTTAAGCGGCTCATAAGGCATTTTGGGCCATATGGCTTACAAATGTCGTTACTTGATATGTTCTATTTATGTCGAAAATTGTTCCGAAATCGCATCTACGATTTAAATATAACCGTGTCAAGGTACGGATTGGATTTATAACTTTGGGCCTATCGGAGTATATTTTTGAGATGACATGCCTTCAATCAAATAGTTAGAGGGATATTTTTTGTAAAACATATCATCTATCTCGAGTCCTTGTGCGTATTTTTCGTCCATATTTTCTTGAAATAAATAAAGCAAAATAAATAATTTTTTTTCCAAATTTTCCACAAAAATGCCGCTCATAACAATTTATAGAGGGTCCTCGAAAATAAAAAAAATCGATATTCGTATGTTTTCACCACTATTTTCCACTTTTGTCCGATCCTTGCATAGATAACAATGCGGCACCTCCAGTACATTGATTTTCAAAGCTTGCCGGCGATATAAGTTTCGTATGGCGGATATGCCATCAATAACACGTTTTGACCGGTCGAAATGTCGTTAGTTTGAGCCATTGTCTTCTTTTGTTTGTTTTACGAATTTTCCGATGATTTAAGGACTATATCGGCTATATCTTCAAAAATTGGTGAGATTTTCACTTGAAAATTTATAGGGACATTCTTGAATTAGTGTAGGTTTGAATTAAATTCAAATACAAAATTAATTTTTTTTTGAAACCGTGAATGGGAGGGGGTGGCTTAAGCCAAATATGTTGTGGCGTACCTCCTAGAATTGTCCGTAATTCATTGCTCAAGCATAACAGTCACCGCATGACAAGACCAATTGTTTCGATTTTTACAATCCTCCCTAGATACCAATTTTTTTATCATAAAAAAATTTTGCGATGCAAGAAAAAGACGATAATAGCTTGGTGCCAAGTCCGGACTGTATGGCGGATGCATTAAAACTTTCCACCCAAACTCCCGTCGTTTGTGGCATATCGTTGTCCTGGTGGAACACGACACCTCTCCTGATGGCCAATTCTGGTCAATTGCTATCTTCTAACGGTCCAGTTATTGACAGTAGAGATCAGAATTTAGCGTTTGGGCATATGGAAGTAACTCATCAAAAATAATCCCCTTCCAGTCCCACCAAATGCATAGCAGAATCTTCCTGGTCGTTAGTCCTGGTTGGGCCACCGTTTAAGGTGCTTCACCGCTCTTTGGTCACGATCGTTTTCGCACAGGGTTATTGTATGTAATCCATTTCTCATCTCCAGTCACCATCCGTTTAAGAAATGGGTGTATGATATTCCGTTTGGCTTCGCACATGGAAATTCTATCCATCCTAGTTTTTCTGTTAATAGGTGTGGTACCTAAACATCGATCTTCTTTTTGAATGCAGCTTCGTGTAAATAGTTTAAAACAGTTTTATGTTAGATTTTTAGCTCCTTGGCGATTTTATGACTGCTAACATGCCGGTCAACTTCGATAATCTCTCTGATTTTATCGACATTTTCTTAATGGATTTCTTTTTGGAATGCTAGGTGAACGAACAAAACTATAAATTTGAAATTCGGTGGCTAACCTCTTTTAGTGAGAGGTGATTATTGGGCACTTCTAAAAATTTTGTAAATTGTACTAAAATCAGTAAATTTGTTATAATAGTTTCCTGTATTACTACGGTTTATTACCATGGTTTCCAGTATGTACTGTGATTTCCAGTAATACTATAATAGTGCTGATAGGCTGACCAGGGTTTGGGAATTGTCACCTATAGTAGACAGTTTTGAAGCTGTGATGACGATTATGAACCTGATGGGATATCATGATTGCATATAATTTACGGAAAAAAAATTACCCTGGAAATGATTAAGTTTTCATTCGACTGAATCATAGATTGTGGTGGAAATGCATTTTTTATCAATTTTTTATATATATTATATAAAAAATACAAAACATATTTTGGGTTCGATATATTACAACCCCAATCGGATTAAGGATTTAATTATTTTTTTTTAATTATGTAGAGTTGTTATTGTAGATAGGAATATTTTTTTATTATTCTGTTCAATAGTAAATATTTATAAAATTAATAAAATGTATATTGAACTTCATTTTAGATAGGCTGTGATCTAGATTACGATCTTATTGCGTTTTGTCTTCTCTACATTCGAATTTGTGATAGTAACAATTAATTATAAGTAATATTTTTTATACCCTTCACCACACTGTGGTACAGGGTATTATGTCTTTGTGCATATGTTTGTAACAGGTAAAAATATATATATATATATATATATATATTCGTCCGATTTAAGGTAAATTGTGCACCAAAGTCCCTATATATCCATCGATTTGCACGAAATTTGGCACAGCGTAATGATTAAGGTCTAGAATGATGTGTGCAAAGTTTTGTGAAAATCGGTTCAGATTTAGATATAGCTGCCATATATATCTTCGTCCGATTTAAGGTAAATGGTGTACCAAAGTCCCTTTATATCTTTCGATTTGCACGAAATTTGGCACAGCGTACTAAATTAAGTCTAGAATGATGTGTGCAAAATTTCGTGAAAATCGGTTTAGATTTAGATATAGCTCCCATATATAGCTTCGCCCGATTTAAGTAAATAGTCCACTAAATTCCCTATATATCTTTCGATTTGCACGAAATTTGGCACAGCGTAATGAATAAGGTCTAGAATGATGTGTGCAAAGTTTTGTGAATATCAGTTCAGATTTAGAGCTCCCATATATATTTTCATCCGATTTAAGGTAATTGGTGCACCAAAGACCCTACATATCTTTCGATTTGCCCGAAATTTGGCATAACGTACTGAATTGCGTCTAGAATGATGTGGCTAAGTTTCATGAAAATCGGTTCAGATTTAGATCTAGCTAACATATATAGTTTCACCCGATTTTGGGTAATTGGTGCACCAAAGTCCCTGGAAATATTTTAATTTTTGGCATAGCGTACTGAATTAAGTCTAGAATGAGGTGTGCAAAGTTTCGTGAAAATCGATATAGCTGCCATATGTATTTGCATCCGATTTTAAGTAATTGGTGCATCAAAGTCTCTGAAAATCATTCGATTTGCACGAAATTTGTCATAGTGTACTAAATTAAATCTAGAATGACGTGTGCTAAGTTTCGTGAAAATCGGTTCATAAATATATTCATATATATTTTCGTCCGATTTTATATAATTGGTGCACCAATGTCCCAATATATATTTCGATTTCACGAATTTTGGTATAGGGTACTGTAAAATTTAAGTCTAAAATGATGTTGCTAAGCTTCGTGAAAAGATACATCGCTAGGCCGATTGGCACAACGTACTGATGTAATATAAATTAGACTCTGTCAAGTTTCCCTGACAAAGTGGTGAAGGGTATCATATAGTCGGCCCAGTCCGACTTTACTACTTTCCTTACTGGTTTTAAATAAAACGAGGAGCAAAATATACAGAGTTGCGGAATATAAACTGCAAACGGGATTTTGAAAATAGAAATTATCTTTATGTCTATTCTATATACCCAAAATAATTTAAATATGCAAAATATAAAAATATAATGGGGTAAATTCGCCAGGCAATTAGTAAAACTATTAGCTAAATCTATGTTTATGTGTTATGAATAACCAATATAACCCAAAGGTGCGCGGGCGATTGATTTTAAAAATTCTCAGAAAAAATATTAGAAATGTTAGCATCAGTATTTAAATAAAATTAAGTAATATTTGGAATCAAAAATACTGGTTTTGATTTATATAAATAATTTGCTTATGGTGCCCCATATGCTTCACCATCCTGATTGTAGTATGAATATTTGCTATATTCTATATTCCTTATAATTGAAATGTTTTCTTTATTTAATTTCATATACCGTTTCCATCAACAAGATTGTATAATTTTGTTTTTGAATTGCAAGATCGTAAACTAGATCACAACATGTTATTATAATATATTAAATAAACATTGAAAAAATATATATAAAAAGCAGTATTAAATATATATTATACCAACTCCATACCCACAATTACAATTCAATAATTAGGTTCTCTTTCTCTGATTTTGTATATCATTAAATTGATGTCTAATTTGAAAAAAAAAAATACTACCAAAAAACTAATACAGTTGCCAAACAAAAATGTTTTTTTTTTCAAATGGGTATGGTGTATAGTTTTCTAGTCTAGTTGAAAAGTATTACTTATTTAATGAGAAACTATAGAAATTATATTTTGTTATTGAAAATAAAAAAACAACCCCATAGAAACTGAGATTTAAATAATGTAATTTTGAGTAGACATGGACCGGCCTTAGATAACATTTGTTCTGTTTTTCTTACCAAAAGTTGAGTAGTGTTTTGTAGATACAACCAAAAAAACATACATACATAACTCATAATAACAATAACATACACACACACATACTACACATTTTACAAATGCGACATACATACTAATACACAAGTAATTGTAGCTAATTACCCACAACAATGTAATCATACATAATTCTATTAACCCCTTAGTAAACAAAAAATTTAAAACATTTATAATAATTCTTAACTAACTGTAAATTTGTTTTTGCAAAACAAAAAAAAAATAAAACTTTTAACACCAACCACTCAACTCAATCCAATCACCCACTGAACTACGTATGACCACCCACGAACGAACCATCGAACCATTCAACCGAACAACAGCAACAAGAACAGGATCCAACAAATTTGTACATCACAAATTTGCCGCCATATTTCAAAGAGACTGATTTAGAGAAAATGTTATCGAAGTACGGACACGTGGTATCGACCAAGATTCTATGTGATGCACAATTGAATTCTCGAGGTAAATTGAATTGGGATGAACACGAACTCACATACCCACTCACCCATCCACCTTATACCATATTCTATTTTGAAAATAAATTGTTAATTGAATACTCTCTGTTTTTTTCTCTATCATTCCGTTTTCACATATCATTCATTCAGGTGTCGGTTTCGCTCGCATGGAAAATCGTGAAAAATGCGAACAAATTATACAAGTTTTGAATGGTACTACAATACCGGGTGCTAACGATCCATTGGTGGTTAAGTTTGCCGATAGCGGCTCATCGGCCAAGAAGAATTTGTTAAAAGCCCGTGATCCCAATAATCGTTCACGTTTGGATATATCGGCCGGAACAGCAGGTATGGAAAGTATACCTGTAACCCCTGATCCAGGGGCTCAGCAAAATGGTACTACAGCTGGCTATACTCGTTTTGGTACACCCCAAATAGGTAGTTATCCCTTGGCTAGTTCTCCATGGATACCCGGTTATATGATGGCTACAACAGCTACACAGCCAGCTGCGGCATTTGAGAATCAGGTGAGTTTTTCTTGCCAAGGATCAATGAACATAATTCATTTGTTATACACGTGGGAAAATTTAAACCTACACAGTGCTCAAAATCAAAAATACCTTCTTTAAGTTCAACGGGACCGAATTTCTGTACCTACCAACAAAATGTTGGTGTACAAACATATTTTTTTGGCGCGACATAGTATCAAGTAATGCCTTCTTGACCAGCCACTATTATATTAGGATGGGGAAAAAAATCTTTCCATCTGCGAATGGTGACTAGAGATGAGAAATGGATCACATGCGATAACACTGTGCGAAAACGATCGTTGTCAAAGAACGGTGAAGCACCTCAAACGGTGGCCAAACCATGATTAACGGCCAGGAACTGGGCCGTTTGAAGATAGCAATTGACCAGAAACGACCAGAATTGGCCAACTGGAAAAGTGTCGTATTCCACCAGAACAACGCTAGGTCACACATATCTACAGTGGCAAGCCATAAACTTCGTGAGCTTGGTTGGGAAGTTTTAATGCATCCGCCGTATAGGTCAGACTTGGCACCAAGCGATTATCATCTTTTTCTTGCTTTGCAAAATTTATTTAATGATAAACCAGTCGGACTGGGCCGACTATATGATACCGCAACCTATGCTAAATTTTGTAAATCGATTTAGAGGAAACTTGGAGCACTATATGCTGGTATGCAGCACTGTTTATACCCTTCACCGCACTGTGTTACAGGGTATTATGTCTTTGTGCATATGTTTGTAACAGGCAAAAGGAAACGAGATAGACACATGGTTCCTTTTGAGAATCACTTTTTAAGTCGATTTATGCATGTCTGTCCGCCCGTCCGTCTGTCTATCCATGTTAAATTGTAAACAAAGTACAGGTCGCATTTATGATCGAAATTGGATGAAATTTGGCGTAGGTCACATATTTGGCCCAAGGACAAACCCTATTGAAATTAAGAAAAATCGGTTCAGATTTAGATATAGCTCCCATATATAGTTTCGTCCGATTTCATGTAAATGGTGCACGAAAGTCCCTATATATCTTTCGATTTGCACGAAATGTGACATAGCGTACTGAATTGAGTATTTAATGATATGTGTTAAGTTTCGTGAAAATCGGTCCAGATTTAGATATAGCTCCCATATATATTTTCATCCGATTTAAGGTAAATGGTGTACCAATGTCCCTATCGATTTGCACGAAATTTGGCATAGCGTACTGAATTAAGTCTTTAATGATATGTGTTAAGTTTCGAGAAAATCGGTTCAGATTTAGATATAGCTACCATATATTTGTTCGACCGATTTAAGTAAATGGTGTACCAAAGTCCCTATATATCTTTCGATTTGCACGAAATGTGACATAACGTACTGAACTGAGCCTAGAATGATGTGTGCAAAGTTTCGTGAAAATCGGTTCAGATTTAGATATAGCTCCCATATATTTTTTCCTCCGATTTAATGTAAATTGTATACCAAAGTCATTCGATTTTCACGAATTTTGCTATATCTAAATCTGAACCGATTTCAAGGAAACTTGCCAGAGATTAATTTATATTAACTTCAGTACGTGTCTATCGGCCTAGTTATGGGTATTTAATTCACCATTCACTTAAAATCTGACGAAAATATATATAGGAGGTATATGTCAATCTGAACCAATTTTCACGAAACTTATCACAAATCATTCTAGACATAAATCCGTGCGCTATGCCAAAATTCGTGCAAATCAAAAGATTTGCAGGGACTTTGGAGCACCATTTACCTAAAACCAGGCGAAACTACAGGGTTGCCCATATTCGACGGACCATCTGGCAACGCCATAACTTTTGACAGAGATGTCACATCGCTTAATGACATACCACGTTTGAAGCGTCAGTCCAAGCAGATTTTTACCATGAACCAATACACGCCACGCGAGCGCCCTGAAATAGTTGAAATTTACATTCAACAGAAGAAGCCAATTGTGAAAATTCAACGTGCTTTTAAAACATAAAAAAAAAATTGAGAAATGCGCCTTCTAAGAACACCATTAAGCGTTTATACGAAAAATTTTCGACTGGTAAGACTCTTTCTAATCCGAAGAGGCCATATAAAAGTCGCCAAGGCGATCGGCCGAGAATATCGCTGCCGTACGAGCCAGTGTTGAGAGGTCCCCAAGAACATCCCAAAAATGCCGTTCTCAGCAGTTGGGCATGGCTCGGTCCACTTTACATCGGATTATTCGCATTGATTTGCATTTGTTCCCGTACAAAATTCAACTGACGCAAATAATGTTGCCTGCGGACAAGCCTCGTCGATTGGAATGAGCCCAAGGAGTCATCGAAATGGCCGAAGATGACGAGCAATTTTGGAACAAAATTATCATGTCCGATGAAGCCCATTTCACATTGAGTGGGGCCGTAAATAAGCAAAATTGCCGTTTTTACGCCACTGAAAATCCTCAGGAGATTCAAGAAGTGTCTCTTCATGACGAAAAAGTCACAGTTTGGTGCGGCGTTACTGCGAAAACGGTCATTGGGCCGTTTTTCTTCCAAAATGAAAATGGCCATGCTGTTACCATCAATCAGGAGCGTTATCGCGACATGATGACCAATTTTGTGATGCCAATTATTCGTCGAAAGCGTATGAGGCAGCACACAAGTCGCATAACAATCGATTATCGGAATAATTTGTTTCCGGGCCGTTTGATGTCGAAAAGTGGTGATTTGGACTGACCACCGCGTTCGCCCGATTTGACGCCGCCTGACTTCTTCTTGTGGGGATATTTGAAGTCAAAGGTTTACGTTAATAAGCCAAGGATCGTAGAAGAGCTCAAGGACAACATTCGTTAAGAAATAGCCGCTATTCCGGCCGAAATGTTGGCAAAAACGATGAAAAATGCAGCAAAAAGGGCACAATACGTCATCAACGCCAGAGGCGGCCATTTGAGAGATATCATATTCAAAAATTGATGTAAACAAATCTAATTGGAACAAATTAAAAGATTAACATTGCCAACCGCCAAATTTTTATTTTTTTTTCTTTGATTTTTTTTAAAAAAACATGGGTCCGTCGAATATGGGCAACCCTGTATATATGGGAGCTATATCTAAATCTGAACCGATTTTCACGAAACTTGACACAAATAATACTTGACTAAATTTGGTACGCTATGCCAAAATTCTTGCAAATTGAAAGATGTACAGGGACTTTGGTGCTTCAATTACCTAAAATAGGGCGAAACTATGTATGGGAGCTATAACTAAATATGAACCGATTTTCTCGAAACATAGCACACATCATTCTAGACACAATTCAGTACTCTGTGCCAAATTTCGTGCAAATCGAAAGACATATAGAGTCTTTAATGCACTATTTACCTAAAATCGGACGAAAATATATATGGGAGCTATATCTAAATCTGAGCCGAGTTTTCAATAGGGTTCGTCCTTGGGCCAAATAAATGAGCTGTGCCAAAATTCATTCAATTTGAATCATAAATGCGATCTGTACTTTGTTTACAATTCAACATCAACAGACGGACGGACGGACATGCATAAATCGACTCAGAAAGTAATTCTATGCATATGCTCAAAAGGAAGCAGGTGTCTATCTCGTTCCTTTTGCCTGTTACAAACATATGCACAAAGACATAATACCCTGCATCACAGTGTGGTGAAGGGTATAATAATTTGTATCTAGAGAGGATTGTGAAATCAGGGTGCGCAAAAATTCGCTCGCGAATGATTCAAATTACATTCTTTTCATTTTGTGCTCATTTAAAGAATGAGTTTATGGCGAAGAATGTTCGCACACACATAACAAAGGATTGAGATCAAACACAACAACGTTCGTTCGTTTCGTTTGGTGGTTGAAATTCTTTCTGACATTCTCTCATGAATGAAAACAATCATTGCTCAAAACGGCAACAACAATAACAACAAACGTTCGTGAACTCAATAGTTGTTGGACATGTGTTTTGTTATTCCACAGACTTTCTGCTACACACACATTCTTTTGTTGTTTGTATGTGTTTTTAACAGTGCTCGCGCGAGCATTCGCGAACATTTGTTTTTTTTTTTTTGAGTTTTTCAAAAGAAAGTTCTTCAGCAACAAATGCTCGCGAAAGAATGAATCGACGACGCTTGCAGCGAAATTTTATCGTTCGTGAATTTTTCGTACAATGCGAACATTCGCGAGAGATTGCAAATGCTTGTTCATTCATTGTAACTTTATCATTCGCGATAAATTGAAAACATTCGAATTATCACCCGTTAGCATTCGTGAGAAAGAGTGTATTTTAATCATTCTTCGCACCCTGATTGGACGACTACAAGAGTTTTTTGTGAGAGTTTTCTATAAGAGAGGCATTCAGAAGTTACCTTTAAAATGGCAACAAATCATACAACAAAACGGGGTTCATATTTGGTCGGACATTCCGAAGCATTACATAATCTATTTTTTCTACTTTGTCTTTTGCAGTATTTACAATTGGCTTCTTCACCACAACATCTGAGCGTTTCGCCATATAAGACAGATCTTGTGAATACCCTACAGGGTCCCGGAATGTATTTGAATGGTTCGGAGGCCGTAATGCCATATGGAGCTATGATGCCACCCATGGGTCCTTTGCAGGTGATAATTTGAATTATATATTTTTTTGTCAATTTTTTAAATAATAAAAATTCTTATTTTTTTTCATACACACCAATCAAAAAAAAAAAAAAATTAACAACAATTAACAACAATTAACCTAATTTTTCTTACATATATTTGATCTTCTCTTCAACTTGCACACACACACACACACCCACAGTATATAAGTCCCACATATCCCTATTATGCTCCTCCAATGATTCCTACCATACCAATGACAGATTCCTCGGAACAGGCTTTGAGTACTGCTGCCTCACCCAATGGGGCTGCCTATACACAATTTTTACATCCCTTAGCACCCAAGTAGATGAATGTTTTTGTTTGTTAAGGTAAGTTGGCAACACTGATTTGAGCCTTGCCAGAGATGTGGTGATTTGTAATTACGATTTTTTTTATTCTTTACCGTTTCTTTATTTCCAATACAGTTCTAAGTCTATCCATAAATGGATGAGTAATCGTAAGAAACCAAAATTTATGTTTGTAACTTAAAACCGATGATGAATAAAACGAAGAAAAGGGGGAAATGATAGAGAAAAATTAAAAAGAAAAACTCGTATGCAGAAAGAGGAATGAAACCAATCAATGATGATGATGACGGAGAAGATAAAGAAATGAAATTTTTGAAAAAACGCGCTTTTAATAAAACAAAAGAAAACAAAACAACAGCCAAATAATTCTAAAGGCTTTTTTGGCTATAATTCACACATACATAGATAACAACAACACTGTCACACACACACACTGGATCAATCACTTACAACCTTCATACATACAAACACATAAGTATGCAAACATCTGGCAACGTTTTATACGACGAAGAAAAATAATCAGCATAGTAATAATAAGAAGAAGAATAAAAGTAAAAAAAAAACATTTAAGAATAAGACAAAACCAAACAAAACCGAGAAAAAACATGCTGTAGCTTTGCCTCAAGAAAAGAAAAAAAGGAAAAAAAATGTTTAAAAAAATAAGAAATATTTTTTTATTTCTCTGACAAAGAGACCAGCCAACTCTTTGTTGAGCAAAATGAGTGTCACGCAAACCGGATGTCAGGGCTGGCTAGCACATACATATGGCAAGGCCGGCCTGGCCTTTGGTGGGGACAGACATTATCACCATCACCATCTCATCATCACCAGCATATATTTCGCCGTAGTCAAATAGAAATGTTTCTTCATATTCGTTTCATTCGTTCCTTCGTTCGTTCTGTCTATCTTTCTTTGGGATACCAACCAAGTAATCTTAAGCTGCACATTCCATCGTTTATTAGGATCTGTGGGAGTTGGAAGTTGATGCTGCTGCATCTACCACAGCAACTCCTTGGAAATATGTTTTTTTTTTTATTATTATTATTATAAAGTAGTCATGTGTTTTTGTAATGTTTTTTTTTTTTTTTTTCTAGTTTTAGTAGTTTATAATAATAAATGAATTTTTTATGTTTTTTTTCATCACCTCCTTTTGTTTACTGTGTTTCTTCTTAAGCTATTTTTGTAAAATTTCCAAAAACAAAAAGGAAGCAAATGATAAATCCCAGAAAATCCAGTAGTTCTTAAAGAAAAATAATAAAAAAAAAAACAAAAAAAAATTGTAGTGGTAAACCAATGATAAGCTGAAGCTAAGAAAATAATGATGAAGTAAAGCGAAATAAAAGTTTATTAAATGTAAGTGGAAAAAGAAAACACAGAGAAAGAAAGAAAAAAAAAACAAACCATAAATGTGGATGTATTATTTATTTTGAATAAACGGAGAAAATAAAACTTGAAAGGATATTTTTAAGTAAAACCCTGGAGTTGTGGAGACGTTGAATTTTTCTTTGGTTTTTATGTTGGGGATTACGGTAAGTATCTGCTACACATATAAAACCGAGCGTACTCAAACAATTCAATTTTTCTTTTCAATAAATTAAATTACAAAAAATAAAATTGGGGAAACAAGGATTCCTTTGTGTTCCGATTCAAAATATGTTACAGTTTGAGAACCAATTTTTATACTCTTCCCCACACTGTGGTATAGGGCAGGGACGTAGCCTGGATTTCAGTTCGGGGGGAGGCCCACTGATAACTAAAAATTATTGAATAGTTCTACGACTTTTAAGGATTTATAACGGAAATTCGTTCAGAAATTGAGAGCTTTTTCGTTTTCATACTATTTTCAATAAAATTCATGCTAAGAACCATTGCAAATAAATGTGATGAATAAATTTAAAATTGAGTGATTTAATTCTTAAACGTTATAAAATTTGAACGACCAGGATTAAAAAATCACATCATCATACTGTTTTACTATGCATACACTTATTTTTAAATTTCACTTTATTAACGTGTTAAAAATGTCCAATAACCCTGAACATACTGTAAATTGGAGGATGACCGTATAGGGGCCGCACTGAAACGAGGACCAATGTTAATAAATTTTGGTAAACCGAAAAATATCAAACAATACTCAAAATACGAGGTACCCCAAACAAAAAAATTACAGCAAAATTTCAAGTCTTTTGTCCATAATTTCCAACATACGGAATTTTTAATTGTATCATTTTTTGGGGGCTACACTGAAAAGTGGTTCAATATTCATAATTTTTGATACAGACATTTAATACCTAATGATAACCCAAAATATCAAATAACAGCCAATTCGGTTCAAAACGTGTTCAAAATTGAGAAAATTTGGAGATACCGTTATATGGGAGATATGCCTACACGTCGACTGATATAGCTCTGGTACTTCTGTGTAAATTTTTGGACAGCTAGCTCAGTTTCTGCAGATGCTAGAGGGATAACAACAGACTGATGGACATGGCTAGATCGTCTTAGAATTTTACACTGATCAAGAATATATATACTTCATGGGGTCAGAAACGATTATTTCGAAAAAACTAACATACAACGATGGAGGGTGTAAAAGTGGGTAAAAATAAGCTGAAGCCAACAATTGTTTTGTCTTTTGCTAATTTATGACTAAAATACATCATTTACAGACTTGTGCTCAACGACTGAATTGCAGAACACCATATTGGCAATATAGTTCTAATGTATGATTTTTCGATATTTCCACCGCATTCAACTAAGCCGGATGCTGACATTTTGAAGCCGACATTTCCCTGTTTTCGGACGAGCTAGTTGGAGCCCTAAACTGATTATAGGATCGTAGGACTCGTGATTTCACTTCGATTGATGTATACCTCAAGAACATTTTTATAAAAAACCCTATTTAATGGGTTGAACCCCGCAAGATTTAGTTTTTTTTAAGTGCGGATGTACTGAGACCTGCCGTGTTAAAATCCGCCCAATAAAACTGCGGTCAAAAATACTTTGAAAGTAGAAATATCTGCAAATACATAATTTGAGAATTCCGCGTGTATAATCGTTTTATTTTGTATATAAATATAAACATTTATAGACCATATTCCTGAGTAAATGCGTCATAAAATATAGCGATACCTGAATAATTTTATCCAAAATAGATTGGGTTGGCATATACACGGTTCTTGATGGATATGAGCATATGAGATATAAAAGCTTTCAAAATATTCACCCTTTGTGGGGGAGGAGCTAGAAGAGGTGGACCGATAAGTCCCATCTTGAAACATTATACAGGTCTAGTTAAAATATTAGGGTGTCAAAGTTTGGTTCACATCCGATGGTCTGTTCCCAATTAATTTTCAGCTAAATTTAGACCATTTTGTGGGGAAGGTACCAGACGGAGTGAACCGATATTTCCCATATTCGAACTAGATTTAAGTTTAAAAGAAATATTACGATGTGCACAGCTTGGACCAAATCGGACATTCCATTCGCTTTATATGGTGACACTTTGTGTGAGAGGTACCAGAAGAAAGTTTGGATGAAATTCGCTTTTGCGTTCGCTTCATATGAGATTTACATGTTTTCGAAATATTGACCCTTTGTAGGGGAGATACTAGAAGGAGTGGACTAATGAGTCCCATCTTCCAACATTAGTTGAAATCGGATAGCCAGTTCGCATTATATTATAAAATTAATTTTCATCAAAATGTTGACCATTTTGTGGGGTAGCTTGATTTAAGTTTGGAAGAAATTTACGATGTGCAAAGTTTGAAGGAAATCGGCCACATCAGCCAGCTTGACAGACACGCAGACGGACGGGCGGATATTTGTAAATGAGTACAATTTGTCTGAAACGGATTTGGTCCAAAGAACCATGGAGTATAAAACCAATATTTCGATGAGGCACATTTTTGTAGTAGCAAAGTATATATACCCCCATTAGCCTTAAGGCGGAGGTTATAATAAAAAAAAAATTCTTAATATATGTATCAAAAATTATAGATATACTCTCAAAAAATCGAGTACTCAAATATATTTTGAAATTCCATTGCAGTTGCACTAAACAAATAAGTAATTTTGCAAAAATGTATGTAATTTTTTCTTAATGATATAATGATACGAAAAATCCAATAACTGTATAAAAATTAGAAAATCAATCCTCATTTCGGGGGGTGGGGGCCTGCCCCCCCCCCCTTGCTACGTCGGTGGTACAGGGTATTATGTCTTTGTGCATATGTTTGTAACAGGCAAAAGGAAACGAGAAAGAATATGCATAGAATCACTTTTTACGTCGATTTATGCACGTCCGTCCGTCCGTCTGTTTGTCCTTGTTACAAAGTACAGGTCGCATTTATGATCCGAATTGGATGAAATTTGGCATAAGTCACATATTCGGCCCAAGAACGAACTCTATTGAAATTGGGAAAAATCGGTTCAGATTTCGATATAGCTCCCATATATAGTTTCGTCCGATTTAAGGTAAATGGTGCATCAAAGTACCTATATATCTTTCGATTTGCACGAAATTTGGCATAGCGTACTGAATTAAGTCTATAGTGATGTGTGTTAAGATTCGTGAAAATCGGTTCAGATTTCGATATAGCTCCCATATATAATTTCGTCCGATTTAAGGTAAATGGTGCATCAAAGTACCTATATATCTTTCGATTTGCAAAAATTTGACATAGCGTACTGAATTGAGTCTAGAATTATGAGTGGTAAGTTTCGTGAAAATCGGTTCAGATTTAGATGTAGCTCCCATATATAGTTTCGTCCGATTTGAGGTAAATAGTGCACCAATGTATCTATATATCCTTCGATTTAAACGAAATTTGGCATAGCGTACTGAATTGAATTCACAGGTTCCAGAAAGACATATGTATGTTCCTTCGAGGAAACATTGGCATGCAAATGAAAGGATACATATGTACAATAACCCAAAGTGGTGAAGGGTATCATACTAATTTCCTTACAGGTTGTTTATATATTCCTAAGGGTTTCCTTCTAAATGATATGATGAAAAGTTGATTGAAGTTTGGAGGAGAGTTATCGTGCGTACCAACCAGCCAGTCTGACGGACATATTTTGCCGTAGCAAATTGTATGCCCCCATTAGCTTTTTTACATAATTTACAAAACGTGCACAGACCATATTGATTTTAAAAGTACAAAAAACAATTATCATGGTAAAATAACATAAGGTAATAGCAAGTGGTGTTGTACAAGAAAGGAATCAACAACCATAT